GATTACAGGCATGAGCCTGTAATCCCAGCACTTTGGGAGGCCAAGGCGGGTGGATCACGAGGTCAAGAGATCAAGACCATCCTCGTCAACATGGTGAAATCCCGTCTCTACTAAAAATACAAAACATTAGCTGGGCATGGTGGTGCGTGCCTGTAATCCCAGCCACTCAGGAGGCTGAGGCAGGAGAATTGCCTGAACCCGGGAGGCGGAGGTTGCGGTGAGCCGAGATCGCACCATTGCACTCCAGCCTGGGTAACAAGAGCGAAACTTCCGTCTCAAAAAAAAAAAAAAAAAAAAAAAGAATTAGGTTTAAGGCCAGGCACAGTGGCTCATGCCTGTACTCCCAGCACTTGGAATGCCAAGGTGGGTGGATTGCTTGAGGTCAGGAGTCTGAGACCAGCCTGGCCAACATGGTGAAACCCCATCTCTACTAAGAATACACACAAAAAAATTAGCTGAGTGTGGTGGCACATGCCTGTAATTCCGGCTACTTGGGAGGCTGAGGCAAAAGAATCACTTGAATCCAGGATGCAGAGGTTGCAGTGAGCCAAGATTGCACCACTGCACTCCAGCCTGGGTGACAGAGTAAGACTCTGTCTCAAAAAATAAAATAAAATAAAATAAAAATAAATAAATAGTTGGGTTTAACATTAATAGTACACTAATGTAAAGGTGAAATTTGGCTCATTTTGGTACCAAAAATCATACAGGAAACATTGTCAAATATAAAATGGAGTTTGGCTTTCTTTGGGCTGTATTTGTATAAATATGTTATTGGTATGTATTACAAAGTTATGGGAGACTCCTATAATTCTGGTATATCTTGGCGTACGTTATCAATAATAATTATATATACATATATATATATTTTTTTTTTGAGACAGAGTCTTGCTCTGTCCCCCAGGCTGAAGTGCAGTGACGAGATCTCGGCTCACTGCAACCTCTGCCTCCCAGGTTCCAGCAATTCTTCTGCCTCAGCCTCCCAAGTAGTTGGGACTACAGGCATGTGCCACCACACCTGGCTAATTTTTCTATTTTTAGTAGAGATGGAGTTTCATCATATTGGCCAGGCTGGTCTCAAACTACTGACCTCATGATCCACCTGCCTCAACTTCCCAAAGTGTTGGGATTACAGGAGTGAGCCACTGCACCTGGCCATTGTTATGTTAAATTGTTGTGTGCCACAGAGATAACAGATTTCCTTGTCAATTGGGTCTTTATGGCTACCCTAAAACTTTTTGTTGTCCATAAACAATTGTTGTCTTGTTTTGGTCCTCTTTAGAAGGTGGTTTTATGATTAGCTATAAAGCTCTAACCGGTGCTCTTGAATGCAGGTTTCTGATAACTTTAGAAATTATCAGAATAGAGGAATAGAAGAAAAATGTTCAGGACTCTTTAGAGCTAAAATATTCATTAATATCAATCAGGACAGGAATTAACTGCATGAACTGAACTAATAGGAGACTAAAGTGACCTTTTTGGCTTTTTGCTTAAAATGTTACTAATCCTTTGTTTTGCTTTTCAGAGTCAAGGAAACTTTTATTTTGAGCTATTAACAGCTTGTAACAATTAAGTAAAGTATACTCCTATGAACACAATTTGGAGCATATTTGTTTCTCTCTACCTGATTTCTCCAGAATTTGGAAACTATTTGTAATACAGTTATTTGCCTAAGTGCAGTAAGAATCTGTTTTATTTTGTAACAGGACACAATTGGAAAAGCTGGCTATGTTGCCAAGGCTTTGACTGGAATGGTGTGTTCTCCTTTAAGGAATCAAACTTGACTTATGAATCCAATAAAGCTTTTGGAAACTGGCCTCATATTTTGTATACACAGTCCCTGCACAGGGTTTCTGCTCTGTGGTAGGTAAAGAATGTCATTTTCTGACAGGCCAGGAACCCCAAGTTATCTTGGAACCTCAAGAGGAGAGGAATTCACCCAACTCATTAAGTATTTATTGGTACAAATCCATGGCTGGGCTTGGCTTTAAAAAGTCTTATCTCAGATTCCTTCTATGGAACAAAGTTGCATCAAAGCCAATTTAAAAGGCCTATATGAAAACTAATTATTCTTGCTGCACTGTATACAAATAATTAAGCAAAGTATAATAAAGCAAACCAGTCCTACCATGATCGGTCTTTTAATAAAAATAGAAAACTGCAGAGAGAAAAATTATGTTTCAGAAACTATGGCCGGGTGCAGTGGCTTGCACCTGTAATGCCAGCACTTTGGGAGGCTGAGGCAGGCCGATCACCTGAGGTCAAGAGTTCGAGACCAGCTTGGCCGATGTAGTGAAACCCCATCTCTACTAAAAATACAAAAATTAGCCAAGGGCCAACCAAGGCTGGGGAAGGAAGGGGTCCCAGAGAGAGTTTCAGGTGGGAAGGTTGTTGGCAGCAATGTTGGTGCATGTCCAGTAATCAAAGGGGGACCTGTGTCCTCTTGTGCCAAGGGCAGGTGGGGCATTGAGGACCCAGAGGGTCTGATCAGATAGGTGTGCCTGTCCTAGGTGGGAGGGGGACCTACCTGCCCTCATCAATGAGGTCGATGGCCAGGGTGCTGATGATGAAGACACACAGGCCAGCGATGAACATGTGGTAGATGGTGCGGAAATGCTGCATCTCCATCAGCTCACTGGAGGGACAGGGGCCTGAAGGTCAGTGTGGGAGGGTCCTCAGGGTCATGTGAACTAGCTGACACTGTACACATGAGGCATGGGGACCAGCGATCCAGAACCTCCCGCTAAAGGCCTTTCTTCCACAGGCATGCCCAGGGCAAATGGGGGACCTGCGCCTTAGAAACCCCTTCCAAGTCCTCCCCACAAACCACCTAGAGCCTAGGGATGAGAAATGAGGTGACCTTGACCCCCCAGCCCAAGTCCTTTCTTTTCCTCCGATTACCTGTCATCACCCCGACTTACTCAAGCAGAGACTTGCGGATGATGAAAACTTTCTGTTTTCCCAGGGATGGCTCCTGGGTCCTGAATTGAGATGTTTGTTCAGGGTCAGGAAGAAGTCAGTGGGCAGAGGGCAGGGCCATGCAGAAGGTCAATACTTGGGAGGCAAGGGGAGTGGTAGGGGAATGTCAGGGTCAGGGCTAGAGGGCAGAACCTGGTGGAAGGTCAGGGCCAGGGCAGAGTGCAGCCCAGTAGGTGGAGGCCAGTGTTAGGAAGACAGGATAAGGGGGAAAGAGGGAAGGCTGGAGTCGTGGTCCTGCCAAGGCTGGTGAGGGCGCATAATGTGATGTTTATAGCTCATGATCCTTGCTACAGAGGAGCCCACGAAGCTGTTCGCCAGACTCACCTGCTCAAGGAATCTGGGGGAGCAGGGAACAGAGGTTTGTGTTGTGATGGGTAGGATTGAATGGCCTCCCACATGGCCTGATCCAGCAGCTCCTTCAGCTGTCCCTGCACTTGCTCCAGCAATTGTGCCTTCACAGCCTACGGGACAAAGCCAGGGCAGAGCCCACTGTCCCTCCAGTCAGCCATCCTTTCATTCACCAGACATCCACTGAGTTTCTACCTATGCCAGGCACAGTGCTTTTTAAAAGAAAAAACTAGGGATGGAGGGTCAGCAGGGATGGAGGATCAGCAGGGGTGGGCCTGAGGGGGAAGGGCAGGCATCGGTGGGGAGATCCATGATGATGGGTCTGCTAGTGGGGAAGGAGCCCACAGTGCTAAGTGCTGTGAAAGATGAAGCCATGATTCCTGCCCAGAGCTGATCTCCTTCTGGCTTCCCAGGGCAGCAGTGAGGATCAGGGAGTGACAGCAGGAGCAAGGCTTCCACTCCCTGGGTCTGAGTTCCAGCCTGGTCACCTCTGAACTTCGCTCCTCGACCCTGACCTCCAGCTGCACTAAGAGGAAGGCTCTATCTACTGGCTGGCTTTTGGTCCCTGCCCTCAGGACTTGTGCTTCAAACCCCTCCATCTTAACCCGAATTCTTTTTTTTTGTTTTGTTTTTGTTTTTGAGACAGAGTCTTGCTCTGTCCCCCAGGCTGGAGTGCAATGGCGCGATCTTGGCTCACTGAAGCCTCTGCCTCCCCGGTTCAAGCAGTTCTCCTGCCTCAGCCTCCCAAGTAGCGGGGACCACAGGTGCCCGCCACAATGCCCAGCTAATTTTTGTATTTTTAGTAGAGACAGGGTTTCACCATGTTGGCCAGGATGGTCTCGATCTCTTGATTTTGTGATCCGCCTGTCTCGGCCTCCCAAAGTGCTGGGATTACAGGTGTGGGCCATGGCACCAGGGCTTACCCCTTAATTCTAACCTGATGTTTGCACTCAAGAACAAGTCATCGGCTGGGTGCAGTGGCTCATGCCTATAATCTCAGCACTTTGGGAGGCCAAGTCAGACAGATCACGAGGTCAGGAGATCGCGACCATCCTGGCCAATGTGATGAAACTGTCTCTACTAAAATTACAAAAAAATTAGCCGGGCGTGGTAGGATGCACCTGTAGTCCCAGGTACTTGGGAGGCTGAGGCAGGAGAATTACTTGAACCCGGGAGGCGGAGATGGCAGCGATCCTGCCACTGCACTCCAGCCTGGCAACAGAGCGACATTCCCTTTTAAAAAAAAAAGAACAAGTCTTCAGGCTGGGTGCCATGGGTCACACTTGTAATCCCAACACTTTGGGAGGCCAAGGTGGAAGGATCACTTGAAGTCAGGAGTTCAAGACCAGCCTGGCCAACATGGTAAAAACTCCATCTCTACTAAAAATAAAAAATAAAAATAAAAAATTAGCCACACCTGGTGGCGCTCACAAGCTACTTGCTTGAACCTGGGAGGCAGAGGTTGCAGTGAACTGAGATTGTGCCAGTGCACTCCAGCCTAGGCGACAGAGCAAGACTCTGTCTTAAAAAAAAAAAAAAAAAAGAAATCATCTTTATCACCAAGCCTCACTCCTGCTTCCTGCTACTGTGGATCTGTCCGCTTGACCTCTGACCTCTGACGTCCCTCACCTCCACGTGTCGGGTCCATTGCACCAAGTCCGGGGCTTTGTGCTTCTCAGTGTTTCCTGGGAGGAGGGATCAAAGGCACAGTCAATCGGAGGAGTTGGGGTTCTGCAGACCCAGAGGCATCTGGTTTTCAGGAAACACTTTCTGTGTGCTCAGCAGTCGCCCTGCACCCCAACCAGCCAATATCTAGTATCATGGGTGGGGCCACCAGAAGGAGAAGTTGCTGTTGCCAGCGGTGAGGACGCCACAGGCAAGCAGGGGGCCTGGGGACATTACTGGAAACAGGGCACTCAGGGAACAGGAAGCTACTCTATTCACCCTCTGGGGTTAACGTGTCAGAAAGATAAGGCCAGCCCACAGCTCTGAATAGCTCTTTTCTGTTCCATCTCCCAGCTGGGTGGCACAGGGTGGAGGCTTCCTTGGCCTTTCAGGACCGCAGGAAGGACTGACATTAGGCCATCAGGCAGTTGGAGCCTCCTCTCCACAGCGCCATCTCCCCCCACCACGCCCCGCCCCGCCCCACTGGTGCCTTCTGCACCGCCCCCCAGGGCAGCTCACCATCTCTGTCTCCACAGGGTCGCCACTCCCCATCTCTGTCTCCACAGGGTCGCCGCTCCTGCTCCCCTCCCAGCCCTTCTGTCCTCTGCAGACGAGGACGGGCCGTGCCTGGCTCCATGGTGGGACCCCCGGCAGCAGGCAGCCCTGGCCTGGGTTTCCTCCTTCCTTCACTGCTTGGCCAGCCCGGTAGAGCTCTCATCCCGCTCAGCTCAGGTGACAGCTCCAAAGACTAAAGTCCTTTCAGGAGGAGGGGGCCTCTGGGAGCGCGACAGGTTATCTGATCTGGAGGGCAGAGCTTCTCAGATTCGGGCACTCTGCTGCACGTCGCAGGGATGGCCACATCCCTAACACCTCCACCATCATCCAGATACCCAGCTCCCAGGGTGCAACACCTCTACCCGCCCCGCCCAACAGGAATGGTGGCTGGGTATGTCATGGGGAGGGGAAATTCGCCTCTCAGAAGCTTGTCACTAGCATGGCTGGCCTTCCAGTCTCTCCCCCAGCAGGCTGAAGGTCAGGGAGGAGTCAGAAATGTCTTTCTGTATCAGTGCATTCAGCTCCCTTTCACCACAAGGTGTGTGATTGATGCATGTGGTAATATTCTAATGGGGTTGGCACGTGATTCTCAGGGCTGAGTGCCAGGGCCCCTGAACATCTGCGCTTCCTGACACCTGTTTGGGTGAGTCTGTAGGCAGAAAGGAGGCTCAACAGTTTTTCAGCACCTAAGGAAGAAGTCACATACAGAAGAAGCAGATGCAAACCTCCCTCTGTCATTTACCAGCTGCATAATTTCAGGCAAGTGACCTAAAATGTTAAGCCACAGTTTCCTTCTCTAAAAATGGGGGCAAAAATCCTCATATCACAAGGTTATCATAAGCTCAGAATGAGTTAGTCCAGGTAAAATCACACGGTTCAGGGGCCATGAGATGAGCTCATATCTTAGTAATAATTTCCTTCTTTTTTTAGTAGGAAGTGACACAAGTGTACGTGTTTTGAGTGTTCCTCTCTGCTGGGCTCCTGCTGGGATTAACTATTAATCCTTCCCCTCCCCTTGGGTCCAAAGATCAGTGTTAGAAACAAGGTCACAACTTCTGACTAAGGCATCTCAGTGTCTCCCCTTCCCACTCCCACCTCCCGGCTGGCAGCTCTGTAAGGCTTGATGGCTCGAAGCCTCTGCCAGTGGCTGTCACAGGAAGGACTGGAGGTATCCATAGGAAAGGAGGAATGTGCGGTTGAGCCTTAGTAGGGCAGAGAGGGGGTCAGGGGTTCCAGAATTGTGAAAGGTAGACAGAACACAAGCCAGCAACCCCAAGCACAGCTTTATTGACACCCAGCCAACACCAACACTCTTTCGAACTGCATATGTAAAGGCCCAGTGTGAGGGGGACCATGGGGCAGGGCCTGCAGGTGGGTTGTGGGGCTCGGGTTATTTGTCGAGGGATGAAAGCTCCATGTTCCTGCCAGCAGCCCTGCAGCCCCCCCCCCCACCTCCCCAGCTTTATCGCCTACTCCCAATGGGGCAGGAGGAGCTTCCGTTGCCATCTGGAGACCCTGGCAGGGGCTGGCCCATCCGATCCACACACCAGCAGGGACCTCGGCGCTGGCCCTGGGAGGAGCGGCACTGGAAAGAGAGGCACACAGGTCAGGAGTGAGGCCAGAGGCTTCCAGCAGGAGAATGGGAGGGGATGCCCGAGTCTGAGGATGCAGAAACACCTGAGGGTCCCCTTGGGACAGCGAGGCCCACTGGGTTCCCTCTCCTTAGTTCCCCCTCTTCAACCTTTAAATTGTGTGCATCCTGCTAGCCTGGAACAGTAGCTTTCAAAGTGGCGTTCCCCAATCTGCATCACCTGGGAACATGTTAGAAATGCGTATTCTCAGGCCCCACCCCACACCTCCCGAATCGCCGCTGGTGGCTCAGCCATCCACTGTGCATAAGCCTTCCAGAGGACTCTGATGCCTCAAGCTTGAGAGCCACAACTAGACCAGTCCTTACGTAGTTTTAACCGTTCTCTACTTCAGTGTGTGCTTGATTACTCCGTATGTTTATATAACGAATTACATTATTCTCTATGCTCTCCTAAAGTTGGAAGATCCTTTTTTTTTGAAAAAAAGAAATAAAAAAAAGGAAGAAAGAGAGAAAGAAAGAAAAATAAATAACGAAAAAAAATAAAAAAAAGAATGAAGGAGAGGAAGAAAGAGGAAGAGGAAGAGGGAGAGAGAACGGAAGTGTTGCTTTATCGCCCAGGCTAGAATGCAGTCTAAAAATGGGTATTGAAAACCACTTTTATGACAATAATTGTGCTTAATAATGGAGACCTTAAAGATGGGGCAGTGTCTTAGTTATGCAGCTATGGAAGCCCCACTGCCCCCACTCCCTGGCAGGAGCCCTCTGCTGGAGCAGGGGGAGGGGAGGAATAGTCTCACCTGCCGCTTCCGATAGAAGCCTCGGTGGTCACAGTTGGGCACATAGAGGGTCTGAGTCCCCCGGTAGACCGCAGTGTGGAGTTGCTGCAGCACCGAGTCCAGATGTCTGCGGCATGGGCCCTGGGGGAGGCAAAGCAGGCAGCTTAGAACCACTCCAGCCCAGCTTTCAGCTCCAAACCACTGGCCCACCAGGGAAGCACCCAGGACCCACAATGGAGACATCTCCAAGCCCAAGGGACCAGTCTTAGATGGAAGTCTCCAGGGCTCCCCACCCCTCCTGCTCCCTACCAGCCCCAAACGCACCATCTCAGTGTCTTGGACAGCTGCAGAACTGGGCTGGGAGGGCATGGTAGAGGTGCCTGGATTCCGCTGTCGGTCTCTGCGGTTCACATCCTGCGGGCGGGCAGTATCTGCTTGGGATTTACTCTCCTTAGGATTCTTCTCTGCAACTACAGAAGGAAAGGAAGAGAGGCCAGAAATCAGCCAGAGCCATGCGGAAGAAGGGCCTTGCCCACATCACCTACTGAAGTAAGGAAGAGTGGGCCTTACGCCCCGTCGTTGCATGATGCTGGCGGTAGCTTCTTTCTCTGACAAGTAGTTACATTACTTTTCCTGACAATATTTCCCGGTATTTTCCAGAGTGCTTTTAAGGCTTATAAGGGAGACATATTTTAAAAAAAAGAAAAAAGGAGAACAAGGATGTGTGCAATGGTTTACGCCTGTAATCCCAGCACTTTGAGAGGCGGAGGTGGGAGGATCACTCGAGCCCAGAAGTTTGAGACCAGCCTGGGCAACATAATGAGAACCTCATCTCTACAAAAAATTTTTAAAATTACCAAGGTGTGGTGGCATGCACCTGTAGCCCCAGCTACTTGGAAGGCTGAGGCAGGAGGATCCCTTGAGCCCCAGAAGCCAAGACTGCAGTGAGCCATGATTGTGCCACTGCACTCCAGCCTGGACAACAGAGTGAGACCCTGTCTCAAAAATAAATAAATTATGGGCCAGGTGCAGTGGCTCATGCCTGTCATCCCAGCACTTGGCCCCAGGCCAAGGCGGGCAGATCACCTGAGGTCAGGGGTTTGAGACCAGTCTGATCAACATGATGAAACCCTGTCTCTACTAAAAATACAAAAATTAGTCGGGCGCGATGGGGGCGCCTGTAATCCCAGCTACTCCAGAGGCTGAGACAGGAGAATCACTTGAACCCAGGAGGTGGAGGTTGCAGTGAGCCGAGATTGCGCCACTGCACTACAGCCTTGGTGACAGAGTGAGACTCCGTCTCTAAATAAATAAATAAATATTAGGTAAATGAATAAAATTTTTAAATAAGTAAATGAAAAATGGAGAACAAATTCACAGGACTATTTGGGGCTTTGAGCTTCCAATGAAAAGACCTGGCTGTTCCACCAAAGGCCAGAAGGGGGCGCACGAAGCCCGGGAGATGGGGCAGAAGAGCAACGGATGTAGGAGGGGGGTCAAAATGGCCCCAAATGGAATGTGTGTCCCTGCTGTGACCTTGCTGTGACTCAACCCGCTTGAGATGTGGCTACTTCTTGAGTACTGCAGTGGGAACCTCTCCCTTCTAGTACCCTGTGGCTTAGGCCAGCTCAACCCTACTTGTCCCAGGAGCACATGGATTCAACCCTTAACCAAGACAGGCTGAGGGCAGATTAAGACGGTGCAGAAAAAGAGGGGCTTCCAACCTGCAGGTTGTTCCTGGCTCTGGAGAAAGTTTCCAGAGGGTTCGGGGAGAGCTCAGGACTGGGAAGGGGTGAGGAAATAAGTCAGGGCTAGGAAAAGGCAGGAAGGGGAGCACGTACTGCTTGGAATTTGCCTAATATCAAATCAGATATCAGAACCCCTAAAGGGGTCCTCTCTCTCCCTCTATGGCCAAAGACAAGCTCCCAGCTAACTACCACTCATAACCCAGAAGACATTTCCCTGCCATCCTGAGTCTGATCCTTCTTCCTCAGGATGCCCGTCCTCCACAGAGCTTGTCCTTGATTCCCTACATTTAGCACCCAACCATTTAGCTCCAAACTGCCTCCTCTCATCCACCCAGCTTACTTCTAGGAGGACTCCCGGAAGCCTGCACTCAGGCATTTGGGACAGAAAGAACCTCCATGTTCTTCCATCTCTTCCCGTGGAAGGCACTCAGAGCCTCTGGGATGCGCAGTTTGCATTTCCTGCCCTCCCGGTCTCCCCGCTGTCCCCCGTGTTTTCAGTGCTGATTCACATCTGTCCCACCCACCCAGTGACTCAGCTTCTGCTCTCCTCCCTGGAGCAGGGTGGGGTAGGATGGGTGAACGGTTCTGAGCAGGTTTAGATCATAACCACGATTTGGCAGATTCCCTCTCCCCGCCCCCCGCTCTTTCTCCTCTCCCCCACCCTACGCCCTAGCCTGTCCTCAGTCCGTAGTCGAGTCTAATACAACTCTGGATTTGGGGCCTTTTCGGTTCTAGATCCCTCCTGTTCAGGTGCTTCGAACACCGGTATTAGGAGGAAAGGAGTCATTTCTCAGCGTGTGCAGAAATTTGAAGTCTCAGGCTCCCTTCCCTCTTTCTCCAAGTGGAAGCTGAGAACAACATTTGGGTCCTTTCCCCAGCTTGGTCGTCTAGGGTGGTAGGAGCTGGGCCTGCTGGGGCACATGGGATGTCCCTAAAACCCTATTTCTCCCTCGGCTGCCCTCAAGTTCCCACCTGCAAGGGTACTCCCTCAAGGGTAAATCGATGGAGCAAAAAAGAAGGCCGGATGCGGACACCTTCTGCTGTATCCCCAGGTCCCCTGGCCGCACCCCAGCTTCCTGAACCCACCCCTTCTCCCCCACACAAATGTGCCCCTCCAAGATAGGAAGCGTCAAGGGCCAGGGTGCAGAGGCTTGCAGGGTCGTCCACTCCCGTTTCCCCAGGACCCTGCCTGCAGGACGCGGGTCTCACGTGGGCGGGGCAGGGGCGGGGCGCGGACTCACCCGCAGGCGCGCGGGCCGGGAGGCAGCGGCCTCGGCCTAGCAGCAGCGCCCGCAAAGGCGCCTCCTCGTTCTCGGGCGGGTGGCACCGCAGTCCTGGGGCGCAGTTAGGGGTGTAGACCCCGCACTTCTGCCCCTCCCTCCTGAGACAGCCCTCAGCATCCGCGCAGATCTCCGCTGGCGGCCCCCCATCCTCCTCCTCCACGCAGCCCCCTGGACAACCCGCCTGCACCCCCTGCCCGCAGCCTGGGCACCGCTCCAAGGTGCCTCCTGGGCTGGCAGCGAGCAGCAGAGCTAGCAGCAGCAGCGGCGGCAGCAGCCTGTGGGGGGTCATGGTCACGGTTTGTGCCCGGTCCTCTCCTTCCAGAGCAGTCGCAGCTCTGCTGCTGCCCGCCGCCGCCCCTCTGTCTTAAGTAGCCACCGGCCAGGGGCCGGGCCCTTTAAGAGCCAGGTGAAGGGGGGTAGGGGAGAGGGCCGGGGCATTCCCTAAACTGGGTGGGACTGGGGAGGCCCCCCCCAACCTGGGTCCTCCCACTTTTCTTTCCCCCTCCCTTTCCAGTTTCTGTTTACTTCCCAAATTGCTCTGATTTTTCTTGCTTTGTTCCCGGGAATCTCGCCCGGAATTTGGGAGCTGTAGAGCTGGCTGGAGGGACTGGAGGGTGGAGAGGAGCGGAAGAGGGGGAGGACGGGAGTGCAATCCACTTAGTGTGTGTGTAGGAAGACGCGAGCTTGCAGGGACCTGGTGGGGAGGGAGAAGATGGGGGCTGAAAGGGAACTGAAAAGAGATAGTGTGTGGATCACGAGAGGAGTGGGCCAAAGTGTAGA